ACTAAAAATTTGTAGGAATGATTGAATATGTGGCGGTTAATGTGGTTGATAAATTCTGGAAGGGAGAAGAGGTATTAAACTATAATGGTTTAGTCACAAATCGAGCTTGCCACTCGTTGTACTATTGTTTGAAGTTAGAATTGTTCTTACGTTGTTGAGGGGCAGAATAGATAGGATTAGTTGTTGATGTTGTTGTTTGTTTCGGTTTTGAATTCGAGAAAATGAGGAAATATAGGGGGAGTGTTTCCCAATTCTCCGTAAAAGAGCTACTAGCTTAGAAATGTGTTTTAAGTTCTACTATGGTATTAACTATAGTTCTAATACCTTGATGTAGGTTGAAGTACTACGGGCAATGTATATTGAGTCGTTACCTACAAAGGCATGTTAAGGCTAATCCTTCCTTCTTTTGGCATGATCCAGGTAACAAAACGTAAATGTAAAGTTATTTCATAAATGGTTCTACCCTTAGTAGTTAAGAATGTCTACGTTATTCATTCCTGTGAAATATAATTCAAAGCATGTCCAAGTATGTTCCTAAGTCCCTATTGAGGCATACGATAAAAGATGTCCTAATGATCGTAAAAGCCTCTTCATGCATTTACAGCTGAGATACAACCGATTGAGCAGTTACGCATTTACCACCGAGTTACTATCGATCGAGTAGTCATGCATTTACTACCGAGCTACGGCCGGTTGGGTAGCTATGCACCATGGAGCTACGACGGCCAGGCTGTTACCATAGATTAGTTAGAAAGTCATGTTATGATGTGGGTAATAGTCCCAAAGAGAGGCATTAAATATTAGTATGAATATCATGGCTCGTTGTGGCACTTTAGAGGTTCACGTTGATTCTTATATCTCTCTCATTGATGTTGGTTTATTATTATGTTTCAGTTCCCCTTACATATTCGGTACACTATTCGTACTAACGTTTACTTTCATGCCTGCGGGTGTAGGTAATCAATTTGATGAACCCTCAAAATAGACGAGGTTAGCATCAGCGAAGGATCGGTAAGGCTCCACTTCATTTGGAGTGCAGCCGAGTCTATAAGTTATCGTGTCAGAGTTTTGCTACAGACGTATGGATAGGCTGGGCCGTGTCCCGGCCATCTTTCGATGTCAAATACTCTTTGAGGCTTTGTATACACAAGTTCATTATGTACAGTATGTCAGAGGCATTGACGTCCTATGTATATTCATATTTTGAGTACGATTGTTCGTTGTACAGTATTTGCCCATTTATAATTATACATTACGAGTTCTGGTCATGTTGGCCCATGATAGTTACAGAAAGAATGAGTTCAGCCAAGTCAACCTATGTAAGTTCTAGTTTTCGTGGAACGTTCATGATTTGTTCTAACTTCCACTGCCGACGGCCCGCCACTATCCCAGGAGACATTCTCAAAAAAAGTCTAATCCGAACTCGTCAACTGCCATGACTCTGGCACCTCTATTACGGACTTTAGCCCATCGTGAATAAGAATTCCTTTCCATTATCTAAAAACATGAATTAAATCTATATAGCCTTTTGAATATGTCTCCAAGGATACTGGAGGCACCATCACACAATTTGCCGCAATTCCGTTTTGTTAGAAAATTAGTGGTATCTCAAAAGGTTATAATGTCCATTATGGTTTGGAAAATCTTTATCTTTGAAATATTATTTACATCTACTTATTATTTAGTAAATTATTTTACATTTAATAGAGTCAAACTAGCCGTTATCTAGCCATTAACTAGCCGTTGGAGCAACACCTAAATAAACATGGTCTTTGGACAGCTAAAAATACACTTTCTAATACAACTTTCTGAATGATCTTCTTTATTCCTTCTATATGCTGGGTTTCTTTCTTGAATTTTCTACTAGTTTTGTTCCTAGTTTAATAATTGGAAGAGCTTGTTGAATCCTGAAGGATACGTCTAATTTTATTTATCACTGTGTGAGCGAAATATCCTTAAGTTCAGTGTCTTTGACACGCCTCAAGCTAAAAAAAATTTCTCCATAATCATCCAATATTTTTCCAACAACCTTAAGGATATTATGGCATTGTATTTATGGAGAATATCGATTCTAATGGCCGTTACATGCTAATCAAACTGGCCAACGCGAAAGAAACATAAGCATTCTCCATTAATTCTAGAATCCCGACAGTACTAGACGATGTGAATAAATAATATTATTGTATGAGTATTGTATGTCGTTTTTCCTGGTTCTACTTTGGAATACGCTTTTCGCAAGTTGCTGCTTCAATTTTATACATTGTTGCATCGTGGAGGACATAATGCACAACAAAATTAAGGTATGCTTTTTTCTAGAATTTAATGTGCCCAAGCTTACGTAAGTGTAGATTTTGTATAGTTATATAATTCAATCAGGGTACAAAATTATATTTACTTAAGAAATTCTTTTTTCTCTAAAAGCTCTCAAAAACTTTTGATTCTTATTGTTAATTAAGAATTACATTGAAAAGTGGTAATCATCTAATAGAAAAAAGTGGGTTAATGAACGAATCTCTTCCGTAGAAAAAATTGACGAAACTTACTATGCCAAGTTTGACAAATTTTTAATTGAAGTACTTTCGTTTTCTTTGAAATCACATGAACAATTTTTATTCAAACCTTTATCAAGACAACGTGCTTCGAAAAAAAAAAATCCTAGATAAATTTTCTCTCTCTTGAACGGGTTAATTATATTTATGTAATTGGAGATTTAGGTGAAGGAGAATTGGAAAAGCACATAAGATTAAATGGTTTGATTCTTCTTGTGATGATGTACTAGATTTAAATATTTATCTTACTTTTATTACTTAAGATATTGGGACTTTTTAATTAATTAATAAATTATATGTGTATTGATCCATATGATAATTTTCGAGGTGAAGCTATATTATCTGCTTGTTATTTATAAAATAAAACTCTTTATGAGTTCTGAAAAGATTATCTCCTTAATCTGAAATTTTCGAAAATGTGGGGGGTCGTGATGTCCAGAGTTATGTAGCATGATCCTAAGAAAGAAAAAAGTGATAAAAATTGTTTATTAATGTTATAATAAAGCCTTACAAAATTGAGATTTTTTGTGGAAAAAAAATTTGTATTGGAAAATCAAAAATGTGTTATATTTCTATCTCTGAAAAGTTATGTTGTTTTGGGTCTATTAGTCATTTGGTAAAGAAATGGTTGAATTAAGACCTGTTTTCTACTTATTTGAGATATTTTTGTAGAATTTAAAGTTCCTTCCATTTTTAGAAAATTTTACTTTGGTACTTGACTATGGAAGATATAAGAAGAAAATAAGTTGTTATGTGTTGAAAAATATTTCAAAAAGCACTTGTATAGAAGTAAAGTTTCATTTTATCTGAGATGATTTTGTGCCTTATGTAAGAAATACTATGAGTTAGTATTCTATATGTGAATTTTTCAATGCATTAGAAGAATACAGTGAAGATATTGAATCTTCGATTCAGATGGAAAAAAAAAACTAGCTAATTGTTGTGTGATCACCTTTTGGTGGCTGTTGTGGTATTAAAATTGCTTAGAGGTAAGGTTGATTAAGTAACCTCTTGGTAAGTTAAACCGACAATAATTATGTCGATGAATTGTGATTGCCAAGACGCAATAGCCATTGTAAGAAAATAAATCTTTCAATGGGACGAGTAGATACATTGTCTAGAGACATAATGTGATATAGCAATTGCTTAGAGATGATAATTTTTTATACATATTATGTGTAGTCAAAAGAGGATTTGGCCGATCTTTTGACTTATAAGTGAAACATCGAGGGGTTGAGACTTTTGCCAATTTGAGATGTATCAACAATGATGGTAACTCAACCTATGTGATTGGAGATCCCATGAAGTAGGTTCATATTGATAATAACAAGTCATTAGTTGTTCAAATATGCACTATTAAATTATGTCTCTTCCTATGGTGTGTTTGTATATAGTGCAGGACTTCAAGGAATGTGAGGTTGAGTTATTAAACTCTTAATCCAATAATCCATAGTCTATTGTAGGTAGTGTATTGTGTTGCATAATATACTTGATGGATGGACCTATATGAGTGTGGAGTGGGGTCGCTCCTATGACAAAAATTTCTAGAACACTCATGAAAACCAGGCACGCGCATAACAGCAGAAATTGTGGGGGTGTAATATGATGAATAAGATCCCTAGATTACAACACGAGTTTTTGGTTCATAGAAGTTATTAACTTCACCAATTACTCTGTAAGTTAAATCTTATTTTATCTATATCTGGTTCATAGTTTATAAGACACCAGATGAATTTCATTATACCTGAAACACAGCAAATTATACTCTCTCTCTCTCTCTCTTTATTTATTACCTTTTGAGATATGTGGGGGATTGTTAGAAAATTAATGGTATCTCAAAAGGTTATGTCCATCATGGTTTGGAAAATCTTTCTCTTTGAAATATTATTTACATCTACTTATTATTTAGTAAATTATTTTACATTTAATAGAGTCAAACTAGCCGTTATCTAGCCATTAACTAGCCGTTGGAGCAACACCTATATAAACATGGTCTTTGGAGAGCTAAAGATACACTTTCTAATACAACTTTCTGAATCATCTTCTTTATTCCTTCTATATGCTAGGTTTCTTTCTTGAGTTTCTTGCTAGTTCTGTTCCCAGTTTAATAACTGGAAGAGCTTGTTGAATCCTGAGGGATACGCCTAATTTTATTTATCAATGTGTGGGCGAAATATCCTTAAGGACAGTGTCTTTGACACGCCTCAAGCTAAATCTTTTATTGTCCATAATCATCCAATATTTTTCCAACACCTTTAACATTTGAAACCCCAGTTGACCCCCGCATAGAAGAAGCTGTAGAATAGTGCCATGTTATATGGAGTGAGCAAATCGGAAAAGATACACCAACATAACAAATGTCGATGCATTTAGAACCAACACCATGTGCAAAGTAATTGTTGCGCTAAGAAATAATTCATATGAATTAATTAAAAAGAAAAGCTTACAAAATTAAGTAAACATTGGGTATATTAGAAACGATAATTTAGTTAGATCATAAACTTTTATATTAATGATAATTAGGTTAGTAGAATAATTCAACTTGTGCACACCTTGACGATTCCGTACCTGCTATCTCCTACCAACACAAGTACCGAGTAATTTTGCCACAAAGCTTAGGTACATAGAGAAAAAATTACCTAGTGTGTTTAGTCTATATGCTGGAATTTAAGCACCGTTCATCCATGATTTTTCACCCACTTCATTGAGGTTACGCCACACTCTTAGGTGCAGCCGTCAGACCTTTTACTAAACCCAGAATCTCATAACGCATCATAGAAACAGCACTTGGACTGACCTGTTCAAAATGGGAGAACCACAGAGTATCTGCATCTAGGGTTCCACTGCTAGCATACCATTGACAGATGACTCGTGCAATCGCTAAGGCATATACGCCACAATCATAACCATTCACTTGCTTTGGCGTGCCTGGACATTCTTTGTAAGTAGCGCTGGACGCTGTATAAGGAAGAGTAACCTTGTATACTTGTTTGGCGTGATACTCATTCATGAACCCGTAGCTGCTGTCATGATGTACAAATACATTGGAGTTTCTCTCAAAAGCCAGTAAGCTCCAATGACTCCCACCTTCAGCCATGCACACATCAGAATTATCGTTGATAGGTAAGAGAATCAACTTCCTTCTAGGAAGATGAAGTGGTTCCATGAAATCCTTCAGGCTTGCAGGATCAGGACACTCTTTAATCCAGAAAGCAATAGAAGGTGGTACCAGCAATATGTCGTCAGATGGAAAGCTTGAGCTGAGATAGCTAAAATAGAACTCAATGATGCGGTCATTGAGATAATTAGGACCATTGAGAATGTCCAAATCTGATCGCCTGAGAACAACATCGTTGTAGCCGAGAATCTTCTCATCTGCTTTGGTTTTAGCCATGGTGCCAATGCCAACTCTATACATAGTACTCAAGAATTACATACAATAAGAAGAGATTGGAAGGGGGAAAAAAAGAGTGAAATAAATTATCATTCTGATCAATCAGATTAGAATTTTCTTAGTACAACATCAATAGAACTGCTTATGATTTAAAAAATAAAAAATCATCACACCACCAATATTTTGACTGAAATACCAAGTAAAAGGAAACATAGAATGTCCATAAACATTTAGGAGAAGAGATTCTAAATCTCCAACCAAATCAAACTTCAACCATACAAAACCTCCTCCAAATCCTTTGTCTCGTTATTGTCTTTTTTATTGTCATTAAACAGCTATTTGTTAAATTCCGCACTACCCCAACTTTCAAACCTTATATGTAACCCTTCAAAAGCTATTTAGTTTCTTTCTTCCAAATGATGGATCCGAGCCGGACCATTCTGATTTCTATTGATACCCTAAGTAGCGTCTATGTCCCAACCTAGTTGTTCATATGGATGATATTATTATGACTAAACATTCCCAGGAAGTGATTGAGGTACTAATGCCGCACCACTTTACTAACTTTCATACCACAAAAACTTTGGACAACTTAAGAACTTGTTTGGTATAGTAATTGCTTAGTTTGGCAATTGGATATCTTGAACGAAACCGATATGTCTGTCTACCAATTGACTCACCCCATACCTTTAAATTCAGCTTACTAGCTGAGACATTAACAAATCTAGGCGGCTACAAGAGATTAATCGTTCAAGTTGTATTGTCTTACCATCACATGTTCTGATGTTTCTTTTACTATCTGCAGAATCTGGGATGCAGTAGTACTCATCCTTCAATCTATCAGGAGTAACCTTGTGCAGAGACATCTATAAGAAAAAATCAAGAAATATTGAAGTTTCTTAATTGTACACGACCTAATAATCTTATATGAAGATCCCTTCTACCATATCACTAACCACCAATCCATAAGTAGTTAGCTCTCTTATTTCTTCATTTTTCACATCCACAAAGCTAATAGATATAATAAACGTTATTTTACAATAAGATTTTTAGTCCATTTCATTTGGTGTTTGGTTAATGCATTACACAATTTATCCAAATCAACAACATGATTCAACACACACCAATGCAGACCCAACATTACAACAACATCATACCCAGTATTATCCCATACCGTGAGGTCTGGGGAGGGTAATGTGTACGCAGACCTTACCCCTACCTTGTGATGATAGAGAGGCTGGTTCCAATAGACCCTCGGCTCAGGAATGCAGACCCAACATTGATAGCTCTAAAAAGAAAGCGTAATTGCTCAAGTCATGTCGTTTTCTCAATTCACAGTTTCTCTTTCAAAAAATCATCAAATGGAAAACCTTATTTCTTTTTTAAAGATGAAATCGTACAACCAAAGCTTTGCAATTAAGGGAAGAAGAAAAATGATTTTTTGTTCTCATAAGTCAGCAACAACCTTGCTTTATATTGGGTACAACTGAACCCAATATTGCGACTTGAAAATTTTAAGCAAATATTTATATTATAAACCCATAATTTCAAAAATCCAATAAATTCAGTGATAAGAACTTTAAATCTTCATGTTTAAATCATGAGTCCGCCTCCATAAGGATTATTGCAAATGAATCTAATCACACACCAACAATGATAATAGGAAATAACACCAATTAACTAGTAGAATCAAATATCAAAATTCACACAAAAAAATGAAGAAATTACAATTTGAAAAAATAATTAAAGGTTCCACCATAAATAAACCAAAACACCCACTGAGTTAAATTTTGAGCCATGAGATTACCTCGAATGGAGCTTGGCCGAATCCTTCAACTCTTCTTGAATGTCACAATTATAAATCTTTAATTAATTAATGGGTATAAAATGGAGTAGTACTGGTGAGGTGAAGGAAGAATAAAGAAAAAAAAAAGGCAGAGGATTAGTATTTTTGTTTTTGTTTTTTCTTTTGGAGCCCCTTATTTGAGATTTTGGCCAAACTTATCCCCTTATCTTTAGGGTAGGTTTAATTTTGTCCTTCCAATATAATGTTAAGCACATTTTGTCCTCTAATTTACAAAACTTGAGCACATTGGATCCACCTAACATGAAACACCCACAACACTGTTACGACTAATGTTAAACTCACTGAAATGCACATGAACACTGTTTAGCATCGCTCTTATAACCTTCCCTCTGTAATATTCAAATGATCTCCCCTTTTTATCCTTCTTATATTCGAATGATCTTAGTATTTAATTAACCAAAACAAAGTTAGGTGGAGAAATCCATTAGTACCCCTACTCACGCACAACTCCTTTGGAAAGAAGGTATGGCTAGATGCACCACACACATAATTATCAACACATGCAACTCTTTTGATTAGTTTATATAGGGAAGTATGAATGGTGTTTGTTTAGTTGGTTATCTTGAGAAATTTATATCACAATATTTTTTATTGTTTTATTGTGTATAATTAAAATTATACTTTTTAAAATAGTTTCATTCATCTCGATTTCTCTTTGTATTGATCCGATTAATTTTCATAACTTTATTTATAAATTATCGCAAAATACATAATCACACTATTATTAGAACATCTCATTTGTTATGTTAATCATTAAATAATGAAAAGTTTAATCTAACCATGGTTTGTTTGCCAACGATAAAGAAAACCGCAACATGTTGTTGTTCAACCATAACATGGTAATCTAAACTTTGCAGTGCTGGAACTGAATTTTAAGATCACTTAGGGTTAAAAGAAATTTTGAAGTGTTGAATAGAAGCAGTTACATGCTTGGTTAAAAGTGATAATGCTGGAAATAAGCACTTGTATGTATATTTGGTGAAAGCACTATTTTATTTTAAAATAACTAAAATCCTTAAATCTATTAACATAAAAATTAAATGATTAATTACAGGATTTTAATTCTAAGTTAATTTTCGTACAAGTTAATTTATGTCTCAATTGATTTCAAATTTTAAATTTATTAGATAAAATTATTTAATTAAGGAGAGATCTTTTTTTTCTTTTCCACATGTCATTGGTGTATGTTTATATATATGTTCCATAGCTAGAAATTAAACACCAAAGTTCACATGCTTCTCTTAAAATTTTAACTATAATTAACTATATAATAAGTAAAAATCCCTTGGACAATCAAGGGTAAATCCATCATTTCATTGTAAATCACCCTTTGTTAAAATTGGTCTATGTCCCAACATGTAGACATCTGTATTGCACTTTTCTCTTCCTTGATCGTCCATAATTTATAGCCATCAGAAAATCCACTCGAGTCTTTTAGAGTCTCTCTGTTTGTATGTTGTTACTCTTGCTACTTTTCAACACCAGTAGAATTGGCATCAACTACTCAAATTCTTTATGATTGTACATACTTGTCCCAAGTAAGTAGATATCATAATTTCCGTTTCTTCAAGTTTTTCATTTGCAATATTACATCATAGAAATGAGATATGTCATTAGTGTATAAAGTGCAGGCTTTTTTCCAAACTAAATGTCATGTTAGGCATTAACTTGAAATCAATAGATCACCACATGATACTTTATAACTGAGCATCATCTTCTCCCAAAATACTTTAGTCTTTTCATCTCCCTCACCAGTCTTTTTGGTTAAGAGATTTTGAACACCTTGACCCTTGCACCATAACTCAATCGAGGAAGCCCAATCGAAGTAATTTAAACTTCCCATAAGGGTTACGAAGTAATCATAATGCATGTGTTGTTGCAGTCCTGGACTTCGGTGTGCTTGTAGATTAGTTATGTCTTGAGCAAGATGACATCGAGGGGTTTCTTGAGGTAAGTCACTTGTGCTCATTTTTATTCAATAATCTTAATTCCCTATTGATTTTCCCATCTATATTGTGTGGTTTTGAGGTGAAATTTGGGAATTTGAGGCTAGGGATTTGGAGAGTTTGATTTGGGGATTTGGGTGGCGATTTGGTATCAAATTTTAATAAATTTGTTGTGGTTGGACTCGTGGTTGAATGGGCTTCGGGTTTTGTGACTTTATCGGATTTTGAGTCGTGGGTCCGCGGGCCAGCTTTTGAGTTGACTTTTGATTAATAACTTAGTATTTCCTTATAGAATTAATTTCTTTAGCTCGTGTTAATTGTATCGCATTATTTGTGGCTAGATTCGAGGAATTCTGAGATCGTTTCACGAGGCAAAGGTGTGTTGGAGTAGAAATTTGCTCGGATTGAGGTAAATAACATTTTTAAACTTGGCTTTGAGAGTTCGAAACCCCAAATTATGTGTTATAAGATTGGTGTTGAGGTGACGAGGCGTGTGCGTGTGCACCGTGAGAACTGTGACTTGGTCGATTCCATGGAACTGTATAGTGAATTTATCTTGTTGATATTCGTGTTTTTATTATGTGATAAAGTAATCAAGCTGTCAATCATGCTAGAAATTGTGTTTAGGCTATATGCTAGTACTGTTAGGACCCATAGTGGTCATTTCTTGCAGTTGACTTATTGATTATATTGCAATTTCGTATTTAGTCATATTTATTCATTGCATATCATGTCTCAGCCTATATTGCTGTTTATTGTTACATCATATCATCTTTTTTGGTTTATTTCATGATATTGTGAGCCCGAGAGAGAGAGAGAGAAAGGAGAGAGAGAGAAAGGAGAGAGAGAGACTGGAGAGATTGATGACTGAGTTAGGCTGAGGGCCTGCTTATGAGTGACATTTATGGGATCGGGTTGTACGTTGCAACATGTTTTATTGATTTATACCTGGATCTGGCTTACTATAGCGCTTGGGCTGAAGGAGCCCCTCCGAAGTCTATACACACCCCAGTGAGCGCAGTTAATTTATATTGAGGGATGTATCTTCCCTAGGCATGGATCTTGCTCGAATCATTTATACTTGGGGATGGATCTTCCCCTGGGCTGGATTGACCATATCCAGTACTGAGTGACTGACTGTCAACTGATGTATATATATCTAGGATGGATTTTCCTTGGGCTGGATTGACCATATACAGTGCTGAGTGATTGAATATTCTAAAAGCGCGAGTATACGAGGCTTTCAGCGTGGTGCATCACATACAGCATGTGCATGTGTATTTAGATGTAGGGAAGTTTATCATTCAAATCTATCTTACTTGCATTGAGTTTAACTATTGAACTTGAAAACATGCCTACATTTCTGTACTGTTATTTCTATATTGAACTGTACCTGCTGAGTTCGTCACTACTTTCAGTCCAAAGGTTAGATTTGTTACTTATTGAGTTGGTTGTACTCACGCTGCACCCTGCACCTCATGTGCAGATCCAGGTGCTTCCAGTCATGGCGGTTGTTGAGTTGTGGAGTTTGGATTTTTCGGAGATTATCGAGGTAGCTGCTTGGCATTCGCAGACCCTTGACTCTCCCTCTTTATCTTTCATTTTATGTTTTAGTTCTATTTTTTAGACGGTGTACTAGACCATATCTTCATGTCGATGCTCATGTACTCGGTGACGTCCGGTTTTGGAAGAGATTTTGTATTGAGTTATGATTTTGTATTCTGCTTTAAAAGGTTTTCCTTAAATTTAACTGCTTCCGTATCTTTCAAAGCTTTAGAGTGTTGAAAATATTTGAGTAGCTGGCTTGCCTAGTTCTATGATAGGCGTCATCACGACGACAGGTTGGTTTGGGTCGTGACACTTAGTTACACCAGATTTTGGGGTGAATTCAATTGTATTATCATCATGACTTTATTTATTTATGTTATTTCGCTATTTGAGACGATTTCTTATCATGTTGAGGTTTATTTTCGCATATTTATTGCTGGTTTGCCCAGCAAACGATGTTAGGCGCCATCATGGCTTCGATGGAATTTTCGATCGTGACACTTTTAAATTCTAATCACTCACTAATTACTTTTTTTAATTAATTGTTATTTCTGCTTACTATAGTTAAATTATTTGTTTTGTAGATTACAAAGAATAGACCATATTTAACATACTTAACCATTCACCAGCAATATATATACTCTATTTTGATTTAAATGGTACGATGTGAATGAATTTTTCAAGTAATAGAGGTATTGTTGGTATGACTTTAAATGTATATAGTATTTCTCATCATAGAAGACGTAATATGGCACTTTTCTTAGACTAATATTATCTATTTTATTTGAGATCAGTCTCTAATTGTGAATTATAATTACTTCCAAATATACTCAGTGATAAAAAAATATTTTTTTAATAGTTATTGTTATAAATAGTATTTTATTTATGGCGAATGTCTATATTTTAGAGAGATTTTAGGGTTTGTTACTTGGTGGTTAAGTCATATTTCTCCTATAAATAGAAGGTTCTATTCCGTTGTAATTTATCCAAAATCAATAAGAATTCTCTCTCTCTCTCTCTTTCTCTCTCTCTCTCTTTATACTTTTCTCTTCAATACTCATCTTCGTTTTTTATTGTTTTATAACACGTTATCAGCACGAGATTTCAACCAATTGAGTAGAAGCTTCGGGATTGAGCATAATGATTGTCAATTCTTCTATGAACTTCCTTCATGATTAAATTATGGATTTAAGGAAAGTATTTTACCTTATTTTTCTCTTTTAAATCCTTGAAAAATTCTATAATTTGATTTTAAATACAAGCGAAGACAATAAATTTTGATTATAACTCTAATAGAATTCATAAGAAATTATAACCACCCGAAGTGGTAAAATTTTTATGTCTTGCTATGATCAAATTCATGTATGATTGTGGGCACAAGAAGTGAAAACTCATCCCATTGAATTTGCTTCATTCTCATTCTCTTAAGAGAATGTGGTAGCAATATTTAATAGGTCTGAAAGAAGTCAAAATTATTATCATGAAAGTATCAATGTGTATGGACGGGGCAATAGACGAAATTATAATCGTCATTATTGTGGTAATGAGAATAATAAGTCTTCACTCTG